ACTTGACCCTAACATTAGTTTTGAAAATTGACACGACCCCAATTGAATCGACCCGAACTGACCCGACCCGAATTGACTCGACCCGATCCGAACTCCACCCGAAGTGTTGACTCGAATTTGACCCGAAACCTGAACTGACCTAACTCGACCCGAACCCAACCCGAATATTATACGACTGGAAAGCGACCCGACCCGAAATGATACGACCCGAACCCGACCTGAATGACCTGTTTGCCAGGTCTAATGATTGCAGATAAAGTTTGCCCAATGTGTGGTGATGCTAATGTTGATCTGATGCATGCTTTGGTTTTGTGTTCTGGTGCCTCTAGAATCTGGTATTCCTCGCCTCTCGGTCTGGATGTAAGTGGATGTATTTTCTCTTCTTTTTGGGACTAGTGTCTATTTCGAGAAAAAAGGTTATAGATTCTACTTGGTGGAGCTTGTTTTGGAGCCTGCTTTAGGGCATTTGGCTTAGAAGAAATGCCTGGTTATTTGAGAAGAAGGAAGTCTTGGAAGTTGATGTGATCAAGAGAGCTATGCATATTGTTGGGGAGTTCGAGATTGCGAATGAAGTATCAATTGTTCCTACTCTTGCTGCTGCTGCTGCTCCCATCTGTCAGACTTGGAAAGCTCCGAGTGTGGGCTACTACAAAGTTTACTGTGATGCTGCGTGTTTTGCTGATGATTTTGTGGGTTTTAGTGGAGTTATGTGAGACCATGTGGGAGATGTTATGGCTACTACCTGCTTGAAACAAAAAGAGATGTGTGTGTTGATGTCGTTGAGACTCTTGCAGCTAGACACTCCATCTGCATTGCACTTGAGGCTGGCCTTGTTAAAATCGAACTTGAAATTGATAGCCTGAACTTATACCACCACCTCAAGTAGAAAAGAATTGAGGCTTCTCATCTGGGTCTGATTGTGCGAGACATTCCAGAGCTTACGAAAATATGTTCGTCTTTCTTGTGTTCTCATGTTAGTAGAAGAGGTAATATGGTTGCTCATAGGTTAGCACAATTAAGTAGAAACTTTTCTAAGCTTAGAGTGTGGATTGAAGAAGTCCCACATGAGGCTCAATCTTGTATAATTTCTGACATTATGAGTATTTAATAAAGCCTCTCTACTTCTCGTCCAAAAAATAAATAAATAAAAAAAAAAAAATTACAATGGTTGTGGGCAACCATTGTGTTTTCTCTTAATATTAACTAGTATAAACCTCGGGCATTGCCCCGGATTTCCATTTTTGAAGAGTGTACTTATTTTTATACTCAATGCTTCGTAATTTTTTATGGTACCCACTACTGTTACTGTTACTGTTACTGTTACTGTTACTGTTACTGTTATTGTTATTATTATTATTATTATTATTATTATTATTATTATTATTATTATTAACTTTTGTTACTTTTAAATAAATTACTACTGTCTCTATTATTTTAATGTCACATTTAATTTGGACTTTTGACACTATTAGCTTGACCTACTTCAACCAATGTTCCTCTTTGGGTTTAATACTTCCTACAATCGAGTGATCCTCACTTTCAAAATATAGTCTTGTCTCTCGTTATTAATTTCTAAATCCTTGATAAAATGTTATATTCTTGTTAATGTGATGTTCTATGCCTTTGAATTGTTAGATTAAAATATTATAAATCACTTAATTTCTGAATCTATATAGTTTTTGTGATTTTTTTTTCTCTTTTTATTACAAAAGTTTTTGATAAATTTGAGTTAACATCAAACAAAAAAAAAAAAGCAAAAAAGAAACTAGTTGTAGTGTTTTTGATTTATAATAAGTCTAATAAATCAATATAATGAAACTAAAAATTATCTACTCTTTGATAACAATTTCTAAAAGAACAGATAACACTTTCTCATATTACTTTCTCATACTCTTTTGATTTATAATAAAATGAAAATAATTATCTACTCTTGATTATATCGAAACCGAAAACATTGAGGAGCATGATAATTATGATTTTGGTTTAGATGTCGATTTTATGATGAGATGCCTAATATTATTTTTTAGGGTCAATGCATTCCATTATTTTTGGTATCATATCTATGCTATTAGTATCGAATTATCTTGAGAAATTAGATATGAATTGAGAAGTAATTGGGCACCTGTAAAAGGAGAGGACATGTACACAAAAATACACTATCTATTTACGTAACATACACTATTTAATCTATAAGAAAAATATATGAATAAGCCGTGGTTAAATACATTAAGAAGACAAGGCATAAACAAAATTAATGAAACCGAAAAAAACAATCAAATATAAAGAATACTTCATTGAAAAAGCTTTGATGGTATACTAAAAAATTAATGATATTTATAGTTACACAAACTATTAGGTGTGTTTCGTGCAACACATGTATTTCTCCTTTCTCCATTTTCTGCTTTCTTTACTTTTATTTTCTCTGAAAATCAGAAAATTGCAGAACCTTTCTCTCTCCTCTCTCTTCTTTCTTCCACCTGAAAAACTCCATGTTCATGTCTTCCGCCTGAAAAAATTCCTCCGATTATCGTATTCTAGGGTTTCAATTCAGATGTGAAGCAACGATTTTGCGATTTGGCGATGAGATTTGCTGATTTAGTGGTGCGATTGAATTTAAGGCTGCTATTGCAGGTTGCAGGTCGCAATTATAGGGGTGGAGGTCACAATTACAGGGGTGAAAGTTTGCAATTGCAGGTGAGAGTTCGCAATCGCAGGATGGAGTTCGTAGGGGAGGTGCAGGTCGCAAGTCGCAGGTCGCGGCTCTCAACATCAAAGGTGGTGGCAGGCGATGAGTTAATCAAAGGCGTGGAAACCAGCACCACTACGAAGAGCGGGAGCTGATGATTTGAGTGACCTAGAAGCTTTGGTAGAAAACGAAAAGCCGAGAAACCATAGGTTGAGAGCCGAGGGTTAGGGGTTTGCTGGTGCAACCGCCATTGATGTATGGATGGTAGGTGGTGGAGACAAAGGTAGAGAGTGTGTGAAGAGATGATGGAAAAGTGGCGGAGGGTTTATTGAGTGAGTTTTTACAGTGAGTGATGAGTGATGAAATGAAGATGAAGAGATGCCCTTTGTTGAGTACCAAAACGCATACTTGTTGGATTATATTACATCTGATATTTTGTTGGATGAAATGGTTAATTATGTGGATCAGCCAATAAAATACCAATATCAGCCAATTACAAGAATATATTAGTCAATTGATGTTTGATATCAGTCAACATTAGGAACACATCCGACATTAATAAAAATGTATCAGCCAATAAAAGGAACTTATTAGCAAAAAAAAAAAAAAAGAATATATCAGCCAACAAATGAAACATAACAGCCAACAAAAGGAACATATAACCAACAAAAAATACATATTAGTTGGACCATATAAGCCAACAAAATGAACATATCAGCCAACAAAATGAAACATATAAGCTAACAAAATGAAACATATAAGCCAACAAAAGGATAAAATCAACAAACAAAAGCAACGTATAAGCCAACAAAATAAACATATTAGCCAACAAAAATAAAACATATAAACCAATATAATAAACATATCAGCCAACAAAATGAAACATATAAGCCAACAAAATAAAAATATCAGCAAACCAAATAAACTTATCAGTCAACTAATGTCAGCCAACACAAAAAACATGTCAGCCAACAAATGAAACATATCAACCAAGCTTGCCACACGCATAATTTGCGTTGCGATAGTCTGCACCCAATACCTACTCTTATAATTATAATTATATGGTGTATTCGTATAGGAGAAGAATTCTATTGTTAATTGGATACTCGTATTAATCATAATTATGTGGTGTATTTATAGAATTAAATATTAGATATTCAAGATAGATGTTAATATTTTATCTAAATATATATCTATCATTTAAAAAGAGGAATTTAAAACTAAAAAAAGATTAAAAGCCTGTCGAAATTAAAAATAAAGGATGAGATTTAGTGTCCTTTAGGATTTATTTTTTTTTTTAAAAAAAAAAAAAGAAATGAAAAATAAAAGATAACTTTTGTATACTAAACAAATCTATCTAATAATCCTTACATGACATCTTATGTGGCATATTTATGTAAAGTTATTGCTTACATGGCGCGACACTTGGCAAAAAACTAGAATGCCAAGTGTTGCTATCTCGTGGTCTAGATGCAAGACCGGCTTTATATATTAGTGATATGATATGATATGGTATTACCATCCCTATATTACTAGGAGGTCAAGAAATACTGTTGCCACTTTGGAAGGTGTAACAAAAAGCAATTATCAAGCTACCCTTAAGCCAACACACGAGTCTGAGAAACAAAGCAAAGCCATCGAGGAGAAACTAGTAGGCCTTACACATGTTTCGAACACCATGCTCAGTGAAGGTGAATATTCCACTAGAGAAAACGTTATGTGTTGGGACCCCGATGGAGTAGCCATATTTGGCAATAATGCACTCCATGGTGCATGTAATGGAGATCTAGATGGATTCATGGTTACCACCGATTTTGAACCCCTCGGACTTGGTGGTAACGGTGAAAATTCCCAATGAATTCCAACGTCTTTTGACGCTAATAAGGCAAGCCTATGTATCCTCTCTACCTTCGATACCAATTTCTATGGAAGATAGTAACCCTTATTTGAATCCGGACACTCTACCAATTTCATGTTTGGTGTGGAATGTGCAAGGAGCAGGTATAGAAATTTATTACTATGCTAAAAGATTTGACTAGAATTAACCATCCTGATGTGGTACCACTAGTGGAAACTCACATGGGAGGGGAGCAAGCAATTAAGATTGCTTCAATCCTAGGCTATGATGGTCACTCGAGGGTGGATGCAGCAGGCTTTAGTGGGGGTATTTGGGTTTACTAGAAGACAAGTGTAGTTACATTGAGCCCTATCCTAAAGCACAATCAACACATCACAATGGAGATCTCTCGAATTGGAGCGGTTCCTTAGTACTTCTCTGCCATCTACGCAAGTCCGGGCCCTTCTAAGAGACGAGATGTGGGATGAACTCAAGAGGTTTGCACACACTCATAACAAACCATGGCTTTTTGCTGGAGACTTTAATGACACAAGATTTCCGCCTGATAGAAATAAATCTTGTAGAGAGACAGATAGAAGGTCTAGACTCTTTAATGAATGGATTGAGGAGATGGACTTATTGGAAGTGGAGTTCTCTGGATTGGAGCATACTTGGGCAAGAGGGAGAACTATTGAAACAAGGCAAAGTGCTCGGCTATACAGAGCTTTGTGTAATGATAACTGGGCCTTGAGATTTAACAATGCGACTATAAAACATCTGCTAGCCGTTCATTCGGATCATAGCCCTTTGTTCATATCGCCAAATGGTTTTGTTCCTATGCAAGCGCTACATAGACCCTTCAGATTTCAAGCGACTTGGCTAGTTCATGAGAAATTCAAGTAATTTGTGGCTCAGAATTGGGATACCAAAGACAAATTGATGAACTCATTGGCCAAACTCTCTACAAACTTACAAAAATGGAATAAAGATGTGTTTGGAAACATCTTCAAACAAAAGAAAACTCTTCTTGCACGGTATAGCTGGCATCCAAAAGAAGTTGGTTGTACAGGTGGATAGAGGACTTATAAAGCTGGAGAATAGATTGCGAAGAGAGCTCGATGAAATATTGGAGAGAGAAGAAATTTTATGGTATCAAAAGGCTCGAGTGGATTGGATCAAGAATGGAGACCGCAACACGAATTATTTCCAATTGAGTACTGTGGTACGAAGATGGAAGAACAAAGTTGTCGGCTTGAAAGGGAATGAGGATCAATGGCGGTACGAAAAAACTGAAATCAAAGAGCTTGTTGTGAAGTATTTTTCGAAATTATTCAAGTAGGAGGGGGAACCTGTGCTTATCGATTTGCCGCAAGATATATTCCCAGAATTATCAATGCAAGATTAGGCTGCTTTGACTAGACCCTACTCACGGCTGGAGATCGAGAACATAGTGAAGGACATGGGAGCTCTAAAACTTCGGGTCCGGATGGATATAAAGCTTTGTTTTACCAAAAGATTTGGGATATTGTGGCGGAAACAGTCTATGACACTATCATCCCAATACTTGAAGGAAAGGGGTTGCCGGATCATTTGAATGACACTTTCATTGCTCTCATTCCTAAAATTGAACACCCGGAGTTGGCATTCCAATTTCGCCCTCTAGGCTTGTGCAATGTGGCTTATAAAGTGGTTACAAAAATTTTGGTGAACCGTTTGAAGCCAATTCTTTCGCATTTTTTTTCCAACACCCAAGCTAGCTTTGGGCTGGGTCGATAGATAACTGATAATATTGTCGTTGTACAAGAGGTGATCCACACGATGAGAAGGAAGCAAGGCACAAAAGGGTACATGGCGATTAAGATAGATTTTGAGAAAGTCTACGATAGGCTTATGTGGTCTTTCATCCGTGATACAATGGTCCAAATGAACTTGCCTATTTTTATGATTGAATTAATCATGGAGTTTATAACCTCGACTTCCCTTCAAGTTCTATGGAACGAGAGCCTTCTCAAAGCTTTAAACCGAGCTGGGGAATTCGCCAAGGGGACCCTTTTTCACCCTAATTATTTGTCATGTGTGTGGAGAGATTTATCAAGCTATTGAGGAGGCCATAATTCAAAAAAGATGGAAGTCGATACGAGCAAGTCGAGATGGACCTATGCTTTTGAATCTTTTCTTTGCGGACGACATAATATTGTTTGCGGAGGCGAGTGTAGAACAAGCAGAAGTTGTTCACAATTGCTTAGACCGATTTTGTCATGCCTCGGGTCAAAAAGTGAGTTTGGCTAAATCAAGGGTTTATTTCTCCAACAATATGGACGAAAGTGCACAAAATCTGATCAATTCGGCTCTCAAGATGGAGAAAATTGATGACTTGGGAGTGTACTTGGGGATGCCGACTTTGACTAGCCGTATCACAAAAGAAACATATAGTCATCTTTGCGAAAAGATTGACCGTAGGCTTGCGGGGGGGGGGGGGGAGTCGAAATATTTGTCTTTGGCTGGGAGAATGACTCTTGCAAAATTAACTTTATCCACCATGGCAATGTATTCGATGCAAACGGCTAAAATTCCTCGAGGGATTTGTGATCAAATTGATAAGAAAATGAGGCAATTTATATGGGGTGGTAGTGATGAGCAACATAAGGTGCACTTACTCTCTTGGGAAAAATTTCAAAATCCAGTGGAACAAGGGGGAATTCGTAAAGTCTCTGCCAAGAAAGCTAATGCGGCTTTCTTGACCAAGTTGGGATGGCGAATGTTGGCGGATTTTAATGCACTTTGGGCTAGAGTTCTTCAAGCTAAATACTACAAAGGCCGCTGTGACCTTGACATGTTCGAGCCCAAAGCTGGGATGTCGAATGTATGAAGCGACATAACGGAGAATGCCAAGACCCTTGGTGAAGGTGTGAGCGAGGACAGCTGTAGGCAACGGGGAAAAGGACACTATTTTGGGACCACAAGTGGTGTTCTGATAAACCACTAAGCGACTTGGCCATCCAACCAATCATGGAAGAACTAGCAAGGGCCACGGTTGGTGAGATATGGGAGGAAGATGAGGGATGGAGGTGGAATGTTTTCTCGCCTTTCCTTGATTTGGATACATTGAAATTTATCCAAAATCATGAATTGCGAATTGATCCATCTATAGGGGATTTATTGTACTGGAAAAATGGAGATAAGGGTAAATTTTCAATTTGTTCTTGCGTTTGAATTATGAGGCATGAGACTGAAGTGCTAGATGAAGAGTGTTGGAATGCTAATTGGAAAGCACCAATTTAGCAGAGGATCTAAGCCTTCTTATGGCTTGCGTGTCATGATCGAATTCTAGGCAACCTCAACAGATTTAAACGCAAGATGATTGATGATCCTACGTGCTTTATTTGTGGAGCTCATGATGAGAGCACTCTTCATATTCTTCGTGACTGTCCAGCGGCCAAGGTTGTGTGGCGAAAGACTTTAACTCCTTCAATTGTTAATCAATTTTACCAAGGCGATATAAAGGAGTGGATTACAAAAAACATGAAGGATAGATCCGGACCATGAAGACGAGGTGAGTTGGGTCACTTATTTGGGTTGACAGTGTGGTGGATTTGGAGATGGCAAAATTGCTATGTGTGAGATGAATTGCCTCTTGATTTTGCCGCCTTCCTCCAAATCAGATATGAGGAAGCTATAAGGGCTTTGCAAAGCGTATTGCAGGATGAAGATATGATCAAAAAGAGAAAAAATGAAGTCCATATAGCGTGGCAGCCCCTTGACTTTGGTTGGTACACATTGAATTGTGATGGTGCTGCTAAAGGGTGTTCAGGGCCAGCAGGTGGTGGAGCAATTATCCGTGATTATTCGGGTCAATTTGTTTTAGCTTTTTCGAGCAATTTTGGGTATTGTTCTGCATTCAGGGCTGAAGTTACGGCCTTAACTCGAGGCTTGGAGCTGGCGAAGAACTTGCAAATAGAGAAGTTGGAGGTGCAAATGGATAATCTTGCGTGTGTACAAGCCTTGTTGAAGCAAGAAGTTCCGAGAGGAGAGAATGTTCATGACATTCGATATTGCAAGCAATTATTAGAACACTCAAGTTGGTCCACGAAGATAGCGCATGTGTTTAGAGAAGGGAATCGAGCGGTCATGGGCGGAGCCAATGTGGGTTCATTGAACCCACTGATTTTTTGAAAAAAATTAAAAACTTTTTTTTAAAAAAAATAAATAAAAATAAAATAGGTTTAAATAGAATATTTGTGTATTATATGGCAATAAGTAAAACTGTAGCCCAGTGGTTATTTTTACCTCCCATCACACAAGAGTTTGTGGGTTCAAAACCCATAACTCACACCTTTTTCTTTTAATTTTGTTTCCTGTTTTCCTCAAAAGTTAGAAGCTTACCTTCCCAGCTTTCCTCTTCCTCATTCGCCCAAATTGCAAAACCCTATCTTCTTCCTCCTTCTCTTCCCGTTCTTCCTCCTTCTCTTCTCGTCTTCTAGAGTTCCGGCTGTCCGCAGCGGCGCGCCGGCGCAGCAGCCAGCAAAGCACGGCCGCAACCTCGCATCCCCGCAGCGGAGCAGACCCACAGGTCACAACCGTCTAGGTAAGTGAATTTGGGGATTTTTTTTGGCTAATGTAATTTACTTCTCAATTTGGGGATTTTTTTTTCTAAATCGTTGAATACTTGAAATTCATATGCTAATATACATTACGAATTGGGGATTTTTTGTAAATTGCTGAAGATTGGTTATAATTTGCTAATTTACTTCTCAAGTTCTCAATTTGGGGATTTTTTTTTGTTACATTGTTGAATTTCATATGCTATTTTGTTTTCTGTCTTCTGGATTTCATATGCTATAATATGTTTACTAATTGACTGTAAATCTTTAATTACGATAGTTTTAATTAGTCTTCATAATTTATTAGTCCCAAATGATTTTTTAAATATGGTTAGCTGATTAAAAACTGAGCAGTGGTTTTGATTAGCCGATTTGGGGAAAAATCCTCCAAAAATTGAAGTTTTGCTTGACTGCTTGTGAGTTGTGACCGTATATTTGAGTATTTGAGCCGTAATGCCGTATAATAGTATAATTTCTATTTAATTTATTATTTGATTATTTCTGATATTCTATTTCATTGATAATTTGATATTGTCATATTGATATTGTAATGCTTCTGTAGTCCTTTTTTTTTTTCTTTTTTTTTTTCATTTTCCTATGTGTAATCTTGTAATTCATAGTTTGAACTTATTTATGTACTGAATATTTAATTACTATATTTTTATTCCTTTGTTAATTACGATTTCAAATTTCCGAAGTTTCGAACCCACACTTTGAAAATCCTGGAGACGCCACTACGAGCGGCGGATTGGTTGGCCAACCGCGGGGTCATTCAAGACTCTCAACTTGATATCATTAATAATATTCTGGTAGACCTTAATTGTATTTTAGAAGAGGATGATAGATGTGTGGCTTTCCCACGCTGAGCGGCGGATTGGTTGGCTAACCACGAAGTTATTCAAGACTCTCAACTTGATATCATTAATAATATTCCGGTAGAGCTTAATCGTATTTTAGGAGAGGAGGCTAGAGGTGGGTTGGGGTAATAAAAGACAGTAAAAGAGCCTCACAGTAAATTTGGAGAATCGCAGATGATGTAGATATACTTCATCCATACGACAGTAGACAACCAAATCCTTGTAGAAATTGCTACAAACGTTATCCACCCTCCTAACCAGAGGAATTCTCTCTCCTCCATTGTTGAACAACTCAAGCTTTCTCCATTACAACCATTACCCATCAATGGCGACCTCAGTATCATTCCTCACTTCATCTTTCGCATCTCTCTCATTCACCTCCAACCTCACTTCTAAATCCCAAACCTTACCAATTGCGCGCGCAAAACCCCTCTCATTGACCCACCCTTCGGCCATCAAACCCCTCGTTATCACCGCAACAGCCGCCACTGCGCCGGTGGAAGCGGCGGAGACTGCCGACCTTGAGAAGTTCGTGAAGTCGCGTCTTCCTGGCGGGTTCGCGGCGCAGACTGTTATTGGTACTGGAAGAAGAAAGTGCGCCATTGCAAGGGTTGTTCTTCAAGAAGGAACTGGAAAATTCATTATTAATTACCGTGATGCTAAGGTATCTTACAAGTTTTTGCTTTCCATGTTTGGTTTGCGCAATTAATTTCCAGTTTTTAAGGTTAATGTTGATTGCTGCAATCTTTACCGTCATAAAACTCTCCAATTAGCCCTTATTTCCTTCGGGTCCTTCGGAACGTTGTAACTTTGCGCCTAGTTGTCTTAATCGAGTAGATTGAGGGTGTAATTGTGGGTGCAAATTTGAATGCAAATGATTCATGATTCTCAAATTTATCCTTAATAGAAATGTTTAGTAATGCCGAATTTGAATGTTCATTCATATTAGTATAACTTTGTGTTGTTTTGGTTCATAGTAGTATAAATTGCTTGGAAGTATGAAGTGGGAGTGTTTGGGAATTGGAAGACTTTGAAGTTGTTTGGATGATAAAAATACTTTAGAGCATCTTTAATGCTAAGCTAATTGTTAAATTAGGTTGTCATGCGATGTAAGATTTTAAGCTAAGCCCTTTATGGCTAGTTTGTGCCCCAATGGTTAGCTACTAGCTAACTAATTGACCCAATAAAAAGAAATTTCATTCTTTTGGCAATTTTTCTCAAGATGATTAGCTTAGGCAAGCTAATTCTATATTTTAGATCCAATGGTCAAGCTAACCATTAAAGATGCTCTTATGGGATGTTCGAATCAGAGGTTGTTGTTAAAATAATACCATTATTTACAATGAACTTCGTGTGGGTGGTTTTACTTGATATGGTAGTCGTCAACACATTTGACCAAACTGTTATAGTGTTATTTACAGTTCTGTTTTTAGTTAAAGGTGCGATGTCCTCAGTGAATTTAACCAAATGACCACGTTTGAGTAGTCCAATCCCCTATCAGGTTCGTAAATTTGTAATGGACATGTGCATACCAGGGAGTGCTACTATTTGATGTGTTGGTTGTTGATGGGAAGCAATTTCGTTTGTGGAATTGAAATGCCAATTTAGATTAAGATAAAAGAGGAGTATGATTATTACAAAAGTTAAATAAAGAGGATTGTGGTGAGTCGAAGCCTAGCTAAGATTATGCTATCTATACCTCTTAAATCACAATCACTTATGTCACATGTCACCTTACCTCTTCTTCTATTCAAACAATTTTTTTCAAAAAATAAAATCTATAGTAATATATAAAGAGAAAGACCTTCTTGGTTAATAAATTAGTCTTTTCCCAAAATACCCTTCTCAATTTGCAAAATTACCCTTCTTAAACTTCAAAACTACATTAAATTTTTTTTTTTAACGGAAAAATTTCATCTATATTTACCAGTTACACACCACTACAGTATACCACAACTGTTCCCACTCAAAATTTCCCCTTAACTACTTTTTTTTTTTTTTTTTTTTTTTTTTTTTTTTTTTTTTATAAATTAGCCTAAAAAATAGGGTGCTCTCCGTAACCGTTTATTCCTGAATCCCAAACAATGGGGTAACTAAAAATTTAGCCAATCATCTCCATATCATCAACTATCACACGTAATTTCAAAAACATGCACAAGACTCATGAAAGAGAGAAGATGGAGAGAGCAGCATTGCAAAAGAGTTAAAACCATCTATATATACCCATTGTCAAATTCTCCCTAAGATAAATTAATACACCAATTCAACCTGTATATGTTGGATAATAAAGAATTCCTCTGAATTCTTCCTTATGAAAAAAAATCTGAATTTGTGGGTAGTTTGACAATTGACACTTGCTCTTCAAAAGCCAGTATCAATTGATTTTATTTTGTGAGTCCTCTATTCTTTCTCCACCTGTTCTGTCACCCCTGATTTCGGGTCATGTTCCTTTACATGTTTAAAATTTTCGGTTTTTTTTTTTTTTTTTTTTTTTTTTTAAACGTGTAATTTTTGTGTTTTGTACTTCTGTTTAAGTTTAATAAATGAAGTTCTCCTTTGGTAGAAATTGAATTTGAATTCCGGTTGTACTGTTGTATTTTATGGAGTAGTAGTATGCCCTTTTTTTTTTTTTTTTTTTTGAAGCATGTTACCCATGTTTTTGCTAATATGGGTTTTTAGGTGTGAAGAACCATACAGACTACATTTTTTGTATCAAATATTGTATGAGTATGATTAATGTTCATAAAATTGTGCCCGGAAATAAGTATAAGTATTACATACGTCATTATACCTTTTTTTTTTTGTTTGTTCAGTTTGACCGACTTCTGTATATGGGTAGTTTGCATAGGTAATTGTTTTGATTTCTGAATAAATTTCTTATATTGTACACGCGTAGCGTGTGTCTCTTAACTTGTAAAAAATAATACGTATTTAACTTTATCATTTAATATACATAGGCAATGTAGTTTCATATCCCTTCTGACTAAACTTCTCTTAAGTGTGTATTTCATAGTTCACCTCTTCTTATTCTTCTTAATCTATTCATTTTCCCATAAAACAATGTTTTAACAGCCCCTACAATGCACAGGCCGAAAAGTAGTTGTTCTAATTAGCAAATCTCTGATTAGATTTAGGGTTAATGATTTTTATTTTATTTTTGTTTAGAACTACAAAGCTTTATGTCTTATTATTAGAAGAAAACTGCTACAAATTACAGTTCTTATGTAAGCTTTCTTATCACCAAAGAAGCGTAACACAATGATGGAATGAAAAGCAAGGTTTGGCATTCGGATTTATGCTAGCAGGAAGATGACAAGCTGACAACAATGTTAGTATCAATATACTTATGGTGTGAGGGTGACAAAGATGTTAGTAACAATATGATTATGATGTGAGGGTGACAACACCGACAAGGCAACAAGTGTAGTTACTTGTGCAGTGGATGCATATATACCCAATATGTTGTAGGCTTTGAAGCAATTCTGCCTTAGCAATTGATGCATGGACATGAATACTTTGTTGTATTTGCATTGGGTAAAGTCGAAAGTTCAAATTCTTAAATGACCTTGTGAAAATAGAATAAGAGTTGGAGTTTATCATGTACATAGAGGAATGGTAAAAGAGCAGAACTTTTAAGCTACAGAAGCCATCACATCGTCTAATAGATTTTTTGGTTTAATTCGAAGAAAGTTTCTAATTATTTTGAGGATCTTATGCCATCTTGAAACAAATTTAGGATTTGTTATGGTATGAAAATGGACCGGTCTATCATGATTGGAAAAGAAAAGTTTGAAGTTGTTTATAGTTTTTTGGTCTTTTGTATAATGATATTTCTGCAATTACAAAAAAAACAAGCAAGGTCTATAAATGGAATTATATGTTGTCTGTTGAGGCATTACTATGTGGCTATGTGCAATAGACTTGGAAACATCAATTCTATGAGCTGAAAGCAATGTAGATCAGCACAAATCTGAACCAAGAAACGCACATATTTTCAGTATGGACTTTCCAGGTTTATGAATAGTAAATGAGAGATAAGTAGATTAATTAACCCCTAATTAATTTTGAAGTCATAATCATGCTCAACTGTATCAGGGTAAAGTGTGCGGCTGCTTGTGAAACTCTAAAGTGGTATAAATCCTTTTGTACTCTCCCCAAATTGAATAGAATTATATCGTCACCAGATAACCCACAATCCTGATTCTTCTGTGTGACTGTTGATTCTGCTGCTATAACTTTCAAATTACTCGGAATTTGTTCTTAGGCTCAAACAGCAAGGGTCCTGTTTTGCCATATTACTGCTTTTGTCTTGCTTGTATAGCCTAAATGATTGGTGTGGTCATGAGCTTCGTACTTGTGTATTGACACTATAACTCCTTCAGATTGTCCTTTAATTTACATAGAGATGAACCTTTCAGAAGAGCATCCTTGATTGAGCCTGTGCAGATCATATTAGTTGCTTCTAGCTTACTCCATCCTAAGTAGCTTTAAATGAAGTTTTCAACCTCAATGATGATGTTGTTACCTGAAACTTTCTGCTATGAACTTAAACTTGTGATTAAAAAACTAAGGGAAGAAAATAATGATTGTGGTTGATAAATTTGATCACAGAATAAGATAGAATTACAATCTTCTGAGAGGCTTAATCCTCTTCCATAGCTATATAAAAATAGCTTATATTAATTCCCAATGAATTGTCTCATAATCTCTCTCTTTCTACTCTTTTCTATTTATAACAACCTGTTTCCTTTCCCTTCTCCGTCTTCTTACTTTCTTGCCTTCCTCTTCAAGCTACCACTAACTGGGTTGTGATGCCAATACTTATAGTGCACCTTCCCTTTGGCTGGTTCATTGTCATTCTTCAAAAAACTTGCTTGGATGGACACGGTAGGGTGGTAATGAAACTGAGTTCCAAATCTAGTAAAAATGCTCTAAAATTAGCTCAATTACCTGACTCCTTCGATTCATTTATCGGGCTTGTCAGCTTGTCCCAATTGAGCATTCGCCAATATATTACTAGTTGAAATTTAGTATAATACTGCATTCAATTTAGTCAAAACCTGTAGGTTTTTGACTAATTTATAATTTTAACGATTTCTCCATGCCTCACATTCTGTTTGAAATTCACAAGTGGTTACTTTAGAGAAAAATTACTCATGATGCCTATTAGTGCGTTAAAGACGTGATAAAAGCAAGTCTAGAACAAAGCTTCCATTGTAAGACTATGTATTCGTAATTACCTCAAATAGAAGTGCTGAAATTGAGGAACATAGTATAACTGAAAGTAGATGTCTTCCCCAGCAATTTAGTCATGGTCACTATCTATTCTTCCTATTTGATCTTGCTTATAAGTTATTTGTGCTTAATGCTTACAGAGCAACTATCAAGCAAAAAAAAAAATGGGGCCAATCACTTACACTGTGTTTGGATAAAGAAAGGGGAAAGAAAAGAAGGGGAGGGAGGGGAAGAGGAGGGAAGGGAAGGGAGGGGAAGGAAGAATGATGTGTTTTTCCTCTAAATCTCTCACATTGTTGGAGAGATCAATTTCGAAATCCCTCCATTTCTCTCCCCTCCAATTCCCTTCCTCCCACATTTGTTATTCAAATGAAAGATACTCTATCCTTCTATTTCCCTTCCCTTCCTTTCCCTTCATTTCCTTCAATCCAAACAAAGTGTTAATCTATCATTGACATTTGCTTCTCCAGTTGGATACAGGGATAGAGAATAGAAGAATGAGTGATGTCAGAACAATTTGTCCCATTTTGCAAATACCCTTTCATTGTAATGTGTAAATTATGTTCTATTCTTGTTTGGAAAATAGGTTTCTAAGGTGGAGCAGTGATTACTATTTTCTTTTTAATCTCTGTGCAGGAATATCTTCAAGGAAACCCTCTTTGGCTCCAATATGTGAAAACCCCGTTGGCTACGCTGGGTTATGAAACAAACTATGATGTCTTTGTCAAAGCTCATGGCGGTGGGCTTTCCGGTCAAGCACAGGCCATATCCCTTGGTGTTGCCAGGGCATTGCTGAAGGTCAGTGCAAGTCATAGAGCTCCTCTCAAGCAAGAAGGCCTTTTGACTAGAGATTCCAGGGTAGTGGAGAGGAAGAAACCCGGTCTCAAGAAGGCTCGCAAAGCTCCTCAATTTTCAAAACGTTAAGGTAGAAATAGTGATTTGATCCGTATTTTCTGCAATTGAATCCTCTAAATCTTTTACCTTGATACATTAACTTTTCATTGGTTCTTGTGTAATTCTTACATAATGCCTGTTAAATTTTGATGAACGTATGTAAGCATTATGGTTTCAGAACAAGAGTATCCATTTATCATTTTGTGAAATAAATAGATTAAATGGCTTCACTTTTAAGTCTTATTGCCATTGGGTTAAATTTTTTTTTTTTTTTTCTGGGACTTAATTTTAATGACACTACTTCACCGCTGATCATGAACAGCATATGTGTCCCATATCTTTGCAATTAGAGGTTACAAGTACTAAAAATGTTTCGGCTTGGTATGCTTTTATTGTATGAAGTTGACGCTGTATGGCTTTTTTCATACTCAATTTTTTACTACGCTCTGCATTGTTTGATTTATCATCTGTCACTTTAGTGATAATATTTGGTACACTTTGTCACTTATACTGATCCTCTGGATTCTTCCTCAAATAATTGCTACATTGCAGTTTGTAAGCATTAATGAATAATTTGTAGAACCCTTAATTTTCACCTTATCAGTGCATATGTACTTCTGTTGTTAATTACTCTAAGTTTAGCTTTGAAAAATGAGTATCATGATTAATCATGTACAATATACACTGTTGGGTTCAGCTTGCTGTTGATGGAGATTATCATTTATGTCTGTGTTAGATTTTTAACACCTGTGCAATCACAGGATGTTCTGCTAGCAGAGTTAAGGCAGCAGAAGAAATTCCAGGGAAAGCGAGTGAAGCTGTGCTAAAGTGGATTAATGTTTCTAATGCTAACTCTGATAGGTTTCAGAAGCAATTTCTGATATTTTCACATTCTGTTGTATGTAACTTGTACCCCTTTTTTGCCCTTGATGTTGTATGAGTGGGAATAGGTTCTTTTTGTATATGCTTATCAGAGTGTAATTTTATATGTGCAACGAATGAAAATTACCCTGCTCAACTTCGTATTGTCATCACCCTGCTCAACTTCGTATTGTCATCAATCTCTCTCTCTCTCTCTCTCTCTCTCTCAGTTATCTGATATGTGTTCTTACAATCTGAGGATATTAGAAATCAAATTGGACACAATGGTGCATTGAAATGAATCAAAGCAGTCTTCCATCGATTAGGAAGCATAATTCCTATCAGAGTGAAATCCTTTGGCTTAGAGATGAATACTACGTATATGATCAAATAATGTAAACAAACCTATTAAACCCCTTCAATCTTCTTAATGAAAGAAAAACTGCTAACCATGAGCTTCTTGGATCTTCTGTTGATCCATCTTGTTAACTGTCAGTCTGCAGTACCAAATTGGTCTGTAATCTTGATTTCAGTTAATGTTTATAAGGGAAAATATCAATGGTACCCCCATCTAATAGCATTTGTACCTAATGGGTTTAGTCAGTTAGAGGCAGTTAGAATTGTAACAAAATCCATTCTCCTTTAGTTCTTTGTAGCACCCACTTGAGACCAAATAAGCAGATTAGCTTTTAGTCCCAGTTGTAGAATTTGCAAGGCCAAAGGAAGCTCCTAAAATTGTTTCTGATTAGTGATCTTGATCTATGAAGAACTATAACATTCTCGTTCTAGTTGAGCATTTTCATCTACTAACACGGTCCCCTTGCCTTGTCAAAGGACTTTTATTGAGAAGGGCCGGCTAAGTGCCTGTGCAAATAGACCCTTAGCACGGAGCCTGGAATTTTAAGGGCTCATTTATACAAAGCCCAACTCTGAAATAAATTTAAAAAGTTGGTTGTCTCTTTTATTCTCACACGTAATGAAACTAACAACCATCTTCCTCCATTTACGGAAAATCAATTTTCTAGATTCTTCAACTCCGTATTTCGTAAATTGCTCCCAAATTCCTTAAATTATTTATAATTCAGAAGTAGTTTGAGCATTTGAGTTTTGTCTAAAATTGTTGTTATGATAATATATTGAGATAATTTCCTTAAAAACAATTTATTTTTATTAGGCCCCAATTACTAAGTGTAGAATTGGGCCCAAAATGATTAAGACGGCTCTGTTATTGAGATTTGTGAATCGCTTTGAAAAATCTTGGAGGATAATATGAATCCATTTCAAGAGGTTTTAAACATTTCAATGTGCTGCGATCCTTGTCAAATACGGTTGGTGTTGATCCAAGCTTATTGTGATAAGTGATTTTATGGAAATGTGGGTATAGTCAAGTCACCCCTAAATATTTTGTTGTTCCTTACAGCCATAAGCCCCACAGTGACTGATGATTTATTGAGCTGAAGTCAAGACATCAACTCTTCAACCAGTGGCGTAAGCATAATATTTTCTACGGGTGGCCTAATCGATAAAGTAAAACATAATACCTCAATAAGTTATGAATGCATATGTAATTTGTAAAAATAAAAAAAATAAAATAAAATAAATAATCAACATCAACCATTAAGGTTTGTAAAAATTTGAAGTACAAAAAAATACTAACCACTTAATATGAGCTCTTCTAGGTTTCACAGAATAAAAGTCATCTATGATTGACGTTATTTCAAATTTTCCAGCAATCTTCTTCTCAATGTACACTAGCAAGTAATCGAAAAAAAAATATCATTTTCCATCTTATTTTTAAGATAGTTTACACAATTTTCATTGCCTAGAAAACTTTTTCTGTAGTTGGTGTGCTAAGAGGAAGGGTCAAAATAAGTCGAATCAATCCATCAACTATTGGATAAACAACCGAAACTTCTACACAAATTAGTAATGGTACTCAAGTTCTTCATATTCGGGTGCTTAATTAGGAACATCACAATAAAATTGTTCAAGTTGATACTTCAAATGTGATTTTTCGTACTCTGAAAAGTCCTTAGGATAGTAATTCTTTACAAGGAGACAAATTTTTTTTCCACATTAAAAAGTTTATATCCATTAAAAGGACTCTGTTACACCCAAAAATCAGATTTTGGACTTTGACTTTCTTGACTTTCTTGATTTTGACCGAGTTATGAGGTTTTTAGAGTTAATAAAAGGTCTTTGAGCTGATTTGATCGAACATAGCAACAACTGGGCTGGTATCGCGTAGAGGCCGAATAACATATAGGATGGATTAGGAGGATAATGGATGATTTTAATTTTCAAAGAAGTGTTGGCGCCAAGAAGCATAACCATACAACAATTATGGGAGTTAGCCATAACCGCTCTATTTTGCCTATAAATAGAGGTGAAAGGATCGAAAGAAGACATCAGTAAATCAATCAATAACAAGCATTTCATTTCTTTTAAGCTTTTTTCTTAGCTTTTGTAGTTTCCCTTGGCTTAGTAGCCAAGCGACAGTGTAGTTTATCTCGTAGCATGTATTGAAGATCGTTCTTCTTTTCCAATTGTGTGATCATGGAAGTAACCTCTCCTTCAACTTATACAATTGCAGACCTGACTCTATCCTTTAATTAATGGAATGCATTTGTATCTTTTGTCATATGTTTATCTACTCGTTTCTTTGAGCAATCTAACTTGTTTTTCTTCTTTTGGGAAATCTTCGTTATTGTTTTGTTTTTACGTTAGCAAGGTTATCAATCTTTGAAACTGGTAACTCGAGGGGAAGCCTTCTAATTCTCTGGAACAAGATAGAGTAATTAACTTGTTGGTAAAGAACAATATTTACCTCAACAGACTCAAAGATGCACTTAAAGTAAGTAGCTCAGATGTTCGTTCACTGAAGCGACTATTTAGCTCTTGTGATACATCCACCCGATAATGATGTTCCACTTTATGGCGTCTTTGTTGCGATGAGATCGAATTATATCAGAATAAATAACTTGCATATCTAGTACCTGAGTACCATGTTTAATGCAGAATGGTTGTACTTTTTGTAAAAGAGATTCCCAACCATTATCTCATCTTAAATTTTGAATCAAGGATTTTATACCAACAATTAAATGCATAGCATTTAAAATGTCTTGTGATTTATGCTGCACAACTCGAAAAAGACCATCTGTATATCCCATAAAATGTAAAATAAGTACGAAATCAAATACTACCAACCTTTTTAGTGCAGGTGTAGCATCGTCGCGTTGAGAATATGACACCCGATAATCAATGGATGTTATTTCAAGGACTGAACGAGATGCATGATATTGAACATTTTTAACAAACTATAAATTGAATTATAATGAGAGCTTCATCTAATATCCCTAGGATGTTGCAACGTGCTAATTTGGCCAATCATTTCCATGTTTTAACCTCCTCGGTCTCAATTAATTCTCCAATTCAGCTTGGCTAGCTTGTAACTCATCATGATGCCTAAAAGAAGAGCCAACAATGTTAACAATAAAAATTAAATCTTCACAAAAATCATGAACCTCAACTATTTCCCTTGTTGCATCAATAAGAGCTAATTGTAATTGATGTGCTAGACAATGTACGTAGTAAGTGTTTCAGGGTTTTTGGGAATCCCTCGGGAGAGTTACGATTCCTAGAATGTCCGTCGACCATCTGTACCTGCAAAACCACGGAAACTCCGGTTGGGTGGAGTTTCGCCTCCGATGATCAAGTTAGAACGTTCCCGGATGTATTGAAGTGCGGAATGTAAATGTTTTTTCTCTCGGATTCCGAGAGAATTCCGCAATTAATATTGCTCGGGTTTTTGTGTGTATATTTATGAATGTGTAATTTGTGAGGATTTTCCTCTATTTATAGTGAGAGGGGATCAATTCCCCTTTCATATGCTAGAGTGCCACGTGTCGCCAGAGGATTGGTTCTCTCAAAACCCCTCTGATGCTGACACGTGTCAGCACGTGATTGGACCACGTGTACAGGAATATTTTTACCCTAAACATTTGCCCCTCACAGGTGTGACCTGGCTTGCCATGTGGCACCTGTGACAGGTGTCATGCTCTGAGAAGGTGACGTCTCCTTCTCTCTCTCTCTCTCTCTCTCTCTCTCTCTCTCTCTCTCTCTCTCTCTCTCTCTCTCTCTCTCTCTCTCTTTCTCTCTCTCTCTTTTTTCTTCTTCAGAATTCAAATTTTGAATTCAAATTGGGAAGATGACGGTTCGCCTTTTGGGGTTCTCTATAAGTAGAGACCCCCCTCCTCTCATTTTCACACTTTGCAAACTTTTGTTGAGAGAATTTTCTGAGAGAGCTCTCTGATACCTGCTGCTACTTTATTCAGAACCGTCTTCCTCTTCCTCACTCATCCGGTCACCGTCTGACCATACTCAAATTCCTTCCCTTTGCTCTTAATATACCCTCATCCGGTCTACCGTCTGGGGTATCATCAAGCAAGATTTCAGAGAAACGGTTGGGTTGCTTCAACAATTCAGTTGCTCTTTGAAGAGGGTACATCCGGGCAACCGTCTGGGTTTCTTCTCCAATTTTCAGTTGCGCTTCAAGAGGATACATCCGGACTTCCGTCTGTGTATCTAGAAAGCAACAAAAACATTTTTGGATGCTGATCCGGATAGCCTACTTTCCCTTCACTCAAAGCATCTCCAAGGTACCGTCTTTACCCCTTTCAACTTTTTTGAGTTTTTCTGATTGTATAGCTTGTAAAGAATAATGGATTTACCCAACAATTGTCAGTCGGTCACCGGATACGGCTGAGTCTAGGACCGGGGATGCCGTCTGGGGGTGTTTGGACCACCCTTACTCTTCTGCGAATCCGACCGTCTCTGTTCATGTGCAGGACAGAATGGCTCGGACGAGACTGACGGCTGTAGACCCCGAATATCAGTCAGATGGCTCAGCCAAAGCTCCGACTGAATTTATAGCTTATGACCAGCCGGACGTACCTAGCACGCCCGAAGATGATATCTTGGACGATTTCGAGGATACAGGCGGTGAAGAGACCGTCTAGCAATCAGACTCTACTGAGTCTACTATGGAACCGGATGCCCCCCCAAGAGGATGAGGAGGCATATAAATGGCCCTCTATTAACAATCCAACAGAGGCGCACATGACCGCCCGGGATGTGGTCACTCTAAATGCCACCTTACCCTCATTTTTTTAAAAGCGCCCGGT